TTCTTTTATCAGAAAACCCAAAATCCACGTAGTGAATGAAAAGAGAGAAGGAATTGATTCAACCTTTTAAGGACGTGATGAGGAAGTAGTGGAAGTTATTGTTGAGTGTCATTGACTTGATTTTGATTGACGGTGACCCCATGTGCCGGGGTAGCATTTCATAGACTGCACTTAATCTGTGTGGAAGCAGAGATCTAAGTTCTTCACACACAGCCGCTGGATGAGTTCTAAATGCCAGCCTTCTGGTTAGTATTCAAGAGTTTGGCTTTGCGTCACCAGAGCTCCCGAGGAAGTAGCAGTTACCTCTCTATGCAGTTTCCATGAGACTCAGACAGGTCCAGCAACTTGCCCTCACAACTAGACGGGAGAGACAGTGCTCTAGCTCACGTTGGTCTGACTTTTGACCGCTATGGTCCACTGTGCTTGGAGGCCTGGCATGCAGTAGCTAATATTCTACGAAATTCATTCCCTCTCATGACTCCTACAGTGTTGAAAGACATTTTTACTAGGGTAAGAAACATCCCTAGAGTTAACTTTCAAAAAGTAACTGTCAAACTCCTAGAAGGCAGAATCCAGGCTTATTACGGATCTTAAGTTGCCTTGCTCTTAGCACACTGCTTTCCTTGGACAAAATTCTTCTTATAGTAAGATTTCTGGAATGCAAAAGTAAAGATTTCTACCGACCATGAGTTTATTTTCTCCTGAGAAAATTCTGAGTATAATTCAGAACAACAGGAGTCAAACCTAGTTTATACAACTTCTAAAACTTACGTTTACCTGTAAGTAATACTTATGCTTCCTTCATTCCAAAGAAAGGAAATGACATATTTCACTGTAGGTTTTATTCTTGCTTTTGTATAACATATGCCTGGAGTTTAAGGAGATTAACCAGCAAAGTAACAGAGCAAGAAATCATGACCTAACTTTTCAAAGGTTAAGAATCAGTTCTTATTTCTCACCATTGTGTCCAGGACTTCCTTTCACAAACAGTTAATTTGTGTTATTTTTGAGGTAGAATGTTCTTTGAACACCGAAGTTCTAAGTCTCCAAATCATACAATGAGTGTCCCAAAGTCACATCGCTGGGATAAACCCTAACTGGATGAGAGACTGATGTCTTACAACAATCTGTGCAAAGGGAAAGTTACTGTATTCAGCTTTAGGAATCTTAAAATTGAAAGACAAATGCTATTAACAGCTGTGACCCCTTGGGCTTCCATCTGTGTAATAAGAACAGCAATGTACACAGCACTTGTATACCTTAAGAAGTTACTTGACTCATGTCCTCTCTGTTTTTTACTATATTCATGATTGACATTTTAGAAAACACTGATTCTTGTACCTAGGAAAAAAATAAGTCAGCAAGAAACACTTGCATGCAGTGTCTTTCAAAGACCCTTTCATTCATTCTCTACATTGTACTGCAGGGAAGGCATCTTTCTTACCTATGTTGGACATTTCCCCCCCTCTTTGGATTGAATTTATTCAAGTCAGTATCTATCTGGATAAATTGGAAATGCCACCAGAATGAAAGAAGAGTAAACATTACAAGATGGAGAAGAGACCACGATATTTTAGTTAAGCGAGATTGTGGTTTACACGCAGATCATGCTGTGTGATGTGCAGTGAGGTGCACGTTTCTGTAAGGCTGATTCTCAACCTGCAAAATTCGGAGAGCGATTTGTTGACTTAGATCTACAAAAGAATTAAAGAATGAGAAGAATTCATCACAAGAGTTTGCACTTAAAAAGAGCTCACCGCACGTTGTTCTTGTTGTTGCTTGCGGCCATCTGGTAAACTTTTGATTCACAGGGACGTTTTTCTAGGCTGAAATCTATAGATGATAGCTTTTCTGGGTTATACGGGAACAGCCCACCAAGTCTTTCCCCTGTGAAGCTGTTGGATAGGTTTGAACTGCCAATGTGTTGAGTGGCAGCTCAATGCTTTGTCATTACGCTAGCAAGGCTTCTCCACTGCATGTGGTTATTGAACAGATTCTAACTCACAGCAATCCTACATGGGACATTAAGAAGCATTGTCCAGTCCCATGTCCTCTTCATAATCTTATGACTTTTTAGTCCATTGTTGCAACCTCTGAGTCAGTCTGTCTCACTGAGGATCTTTCCCTTTTTTTCCTCACCCTGTATCTTTCAGGGAACTTTGGTGGTTTTGTCTAGAGAAGGAGTTGTGCTGTGAACCCCAAGGCAGGGACTCTGTTGGTTCGAATCCACCAGTAGCTCTGTGGCAGGAAGATAGGCTCTCTCCTCCTACGCCAGTTACAGCCTCTCAAAACCCACCGAAGGATCAGTTATAAGTCAGCTCCGACTCAGTGGAAATGGTATGAGGATGAGGATGGTGGTGATGGTCTGCTTTTACCAGGTGTGACGCCCTTCTCTGGAAACTCTTTTCTCCCGGCAACACGTGTACAATACGTAAGCCCGAGTCTACCTATCCTCACTCCTATTTGGACTGTAATTCACCTGACACAGATTTGTTCAGTCTTCTGGCGTCTCTGGAATACTCCATAGTCTCGGTCAACATCGTGACTCAAACGCTTCAATTCTGCCGCCTTACGTATTCATTGTGCAATTTTACATGCCTAGTCGACCACTGGACCAGGTATTCTTTAGTCCTCAAAATGACATCCTCATCTTTCTTTAACATTTTAAAGAGGACTTTTCTATTTCTTTTGAAGATTTGTCCAATGCAATATGCTATTTTATTTCTTAACTGCTGTGGCTATCATTATTATTGCTAGTTCTACTATTATTATTTGTTGGAGATTTAGAATACTAACATTAAGAGTTCATATTAACTAGGAAAGATAATTGGAATATGCACATTAGAATTAGCTAGATTTCTAATTGTGGTATTGACCATGTGACTTGGGGTAGAGGAATATTACTTTCTGACCCTTGTTAAATTAGAATAATAACAATCTTTATTATAGGGTCCAGGAATAAAAGAACATACAAAACTCATCTTAGTGCCTCGAAAGTTGAAGGAAAGACTTAAGAAATCCATGATTAGTGAAAATAAAGGGAAGATATAGTAAGGGTTGATCATCCATTGTTGTGGTTGCTATAATTAATGTTCTAAAATATAAAGTGTGTGAATGAGTGAATGAAAAAAAATGTACGCTTTCACTCAAATAATAAGAAAGAACAAGAACAGTAAAAGAAATAAATCCATGATCGTTGGTATGGCAAAGTGTGCAATAAATTTGAATTCCCTAGACTTTATGTAAACTCGCTATTGTGATGTGCTTTTGAGTGTATTCCAACATCCAGTCTCTTTCTCTGGCAGAGTTGAATGACCCAGACGGTTTTCAAGGCTGTGGTGTTGCAGGAGAAGATTTCCAGATTGATCCCCCTGCAGTCACTAGTTGGAATAGAACTGCCCAACTTTTGGTGAGTGCCCAGTACTTGACCACTGAACTAGCCAGGCCCCTTATGTCCATCAGTTCTTGGTGGTTTTCTCCAGTCACCCCTTTCTGAGCTCCATCTTCAAAGACCTCCTCATTCTCCACAAGAGCTGCTTCTTCCTTCTCATTGTGGGGCATTTACACCTGCTCTCTCTACCCAAAGTGCTGGTCCCCTCGGTTCTTTGCATGTCTTGACCTTTCCACGCCCAGATCTCTATTTGACTCTCACCTTCTAGATCTCATCTTCCATCATGGCCAGAATTAGCAGGGCCAGGAACTCTCCTTGCCATCTTCACTATCTGGAAATATATTTGAATTTATTTTTTATTTAGTGAAAACTTTTTTCCTCTTCTAGGCAGTGTTTCAGAGAATAAGATAACACCCCAAGCAGTGCTCAGCACACTTTGTTCTCTGTCTGATGGAGTTCTAAGTCCTACCTGTCGCTGGTATTGTGTAGAACAGATGAAATAATACATGGTTGTTCTTAACATCCAGGAAGGGTGGGAGAGGCTGGAAGCAGAGGGATGTGGATGTGCAGGGGGAGGGGGAATTAATCATTAGGTTGTACAATTTGATGGGGGGCAATGGAAAGAATTAGTTCTTGAAAACAGTGTATTTTAATTTAGCAAATAAACTAGTAGAAACTTAAAAAAATTAAAAAGTTCTCATAAAACAAATGAGACTCAGAATGTGTTTTGTGCTACTCTTTATGTTTTAAAAGAATCATATATCTACTGTGATGAGGGGTCCATAGGGGTATAATGATAAAAAAATAGGAGCAATGCCTTCCTCTGTGAATGGGGCTTAAGAGACTGGGTATAAGCCATGAGAGTGACAGTTACTTGACTATGTTTTACCTGTAGATGCACCATTCTAAAATAATAATGTATTTTAAAAAATGAAAGACTCATTATTGATTAAGGGGAGAAAGAAAAGTTTCTGCCAAGGAAGGAAGGAAAGAAGGAATGGAGGGAGGGAAGGAAGGAGGGAAGAAGGGAGAGAAGAAGGGAGGGAGGGAGG